AGCAGCTCTTTTCCTCTCTGTGTTTTCAGTTTTAGAAGCTTTCTGCCTCCCTCAGCATTTCCACAACGCCCCCCCGAAGGCCCTGGAAGCTCATTCTCTCTGCAAAGAGTTAACAACCTGCCTTGGGGTTTCTAACAATGCTATCAAGCAACGCAATATGTCTACAGCACGGAGAAAATACAGAAGGAAAATAAAGAATGAAGAAAGATTGGCCGCTGTCCGTCCCCCCGTCCACGGCATCCCTCTCAATAGTTTATTCACTTGTGGAGCTGTCTTTGACAGAGAAACAGGCCGAGTGCAGAGAGAGGAATAACTTTGGATTTCCAGACCACGAGACACTACAAGATGCAACCGAAAGGTTTATCAAATGGTGAAAGAGTTTCTTTTTCTGCAGCAAATGTCATGATGCAATCCAGGCAGCCCATAATGCAGTGGTTCTCAAAGTGGGGGGCGCGCCACCCCTGTGGGGCGCAGAGGCATGCCAGGGGGGGGCGCGAGAGACCAGGAGGAAAAATGGTTATTTAAAAAAAAAAAATTAAAAAAAAATTCATAAATTGAAAATGTATTTATTCGAAAATAATATGATGCAGTACTATTACGTCTGGGTCTCTGTGTTTCATTAAAGCTTGGCTCTGTGTGTGTGTGAAACGAGCCATTTTGTGTGCGCGAGAGAGAAAGAGCGCACCGGTACCGGAGATCGTTGTTGTTAGCTTCTGGTGCTAGCGAGCTACGCTAACGGATATAAGGAGTTTTTTCAACAACAAAGTGGAGGAGAGCTCTCCTGTCAGACTGAGAGAACAAAAGGACTCTCTCAGTGTTTAGATAGTTAACTTTAGTCTAAGTTATCTCAGTGGGTCTCAAACGTTTTGGTCACGATTAATGTAAACAATTATTTCTGAAGCACACGTTTATATGATCATTATAGTTATACAAAAATAAGAGAATAAATGAAAAACAGGTATGAAATACTATATGGCAGTAAAACAAGAATAAAGTTTAGAAGGGTGATTTGTAAAATATCCATAAAGAAAAAGTAAATCTGCTTACAGTTCTGTTTCATAGGTGTTGAGAGAGGTATCCATAGATCTCTTCATTTTGCTCTCAAAGTGCACCAAATTGATGTTTTTAACTTCAATATTTAAAAATAAATCTTCCCGGGGGTCCACACACCACCTATAAAAATAGAACTTTACCCCTGCTTACACCTATATGCCGTGAGCTGATTATCGAGCCTTCATTGTAACTGTCACACTGTGTATGCGTGTGGATTGTTGCAGTAGAAAATTCCTGAAAATACTGTAGCGACCGGTACATTAATGGGAAACCCTAAATGTTTGAGCATCCTCTATGAAACGTCAAGCTACCCCACAGCACCCCCAAAACAAATCTCTGGCGCCGCCACTGAGCCTGACTTGTGTTGGGGGGGCCCGACTTTTTTTTTCTCCTGACAGAAAAAGTTTGAGAACCACTGCCATAATGTAACAGACCCATGTTACATTGTAATACAACAAAGTAATTCAAATGATCCCTCCTTTTAGTAAGTGCAACATCAAAGGGATGAAAACATTGATGCATCAATAATTATGAAACAATCATTTAAAATATTTGGTGCTTTAATGGGCCAATCTGCATAATGAGTACTTTTGGCACTATAAGTATATGTTAATGCTAATACTTTTTACTTTAACAATTCAGACGACAGGACTTTTAATTGTACATTTGTATTTTTCAAACTGTAGTATTGCTATTTTTACTTCAGTAAAAACAAAATCAGAATGAGTGCTTGAGTAAGCCTTTTTTTGACAAAATAAAACTTCACATTACAAAACCTGTGATCTGCAAAAATGTGTCCTGTAAAAATGTAGATCTTAATTTGTTTCCAATGAGTGGGAATGTGCTAACCATGTGCAAACAACACAACAGATCTTTCTACTTTCATCAACCACGGCTGCTCAATGGCCTTCACTTCAAAAGTCTTTCATTCATCACTGTTGGAGCACTGGGCCTCTTGTATCCCTCGCTGCCGACTTTCAGTATTCACTTACCTGGCACGTTATGAATCAGAATATAAATACATACAGAGCAGAGACAGTAGGGAAGATATCAGAATCCTTCATGTTTGCCTGAGAGGTGAGAGGGCGCTGACAACAGCTTTGTCATTTAGATATGATGTAATGATTATCATAATGAGTGTCATGAAAGAGTAGTGCCATTAATACAAAAATAAAATGAGAAAAATGTCTATGATGAACATATTTATTTTAAAAGAATGTCATAGTGAATTGAGTTTTAATAATGTATTCAGATATTTTATAGACATTTTACCAAATGTAATCGTGGGATTATTGTTATTTTTAAATGTAGCAATAAAACTCTGTTTTTAACCTTTAACACTTTATAATATGGTCTGGCATTTAGACAATTACAGTTGTTTCAGCAACAATACATATAATACAGCAGTCCAGCATTAAAGCAGCTTATTAGAAATCATGATCATTTTGAGTTTAGATTTTTTTTCACCATTCTCAACATGACTTCCAGGAAGAGGCCACCTTGACACTTAAGAAACATGCAACACGGAGGATATCCATTTTATACTGTCTCTTTTTTCATTAGAGATGAAAGGTGTATAAATAGCGTGTGGTGCCAGGACGAAGTGAAGCAGCCTCAATAACATAGCCAGAAGTCGCGTGGTATCTCAGTGTCAGCAAAGTGTTAGCATTCCCCCCGGGCTCCTGACTCTCAAATGGGTCTTCCTGGAAATAAGTTCCACACATGAGGCAAGTAAAGTGGGTCTGGTGCCAGCATCCTCATAAATATGACCTGAATCAATGCTAATATGGCTGTTTGGTGGAAGGGGGGGTGTAAGCAAGAGTGTACGCTTTAACAGGAGTCCCCTGCAGCTATTGGTCATCCTGCTGCTGTATGTCCCGCCTCCACTGCATGAGTGGATCTAACAGCTTCAACTGATGTGTGAAGCTGAAAAAGGACAGGGCTAAAATGATAATATAAATATAATCCAGCAGTACTGCAATAATGTCTTCCACCATGAAGGGGGGCAGAACTGATAAGACGAGAGGCAGATATCAATACCAAGAGCATGTCCATTATACAAATATCACAGATTGAATCATTGTTCCTCCTAAAACTTGTGTCATGTTGACCAGTTCAGTACTGTACTTGTACTATATTACATCCATATTACATTGTTAGGACACCATTTTTACACCCAAACTACACACACACATATATATAACACCAGTATTACACCCATTTCGCACCATTATTACAACATATAACATCGGTATTACACTTTTATTGCAGCCATATTATACCGTTATTACACCGATTTTACATCAAATGTAAAATTATACTCCAACCACGTTACACATGGACACAGCCTGTCAAATGACTGTATCGGTAGGGATTAAGAAACCTTTAAGGGTTAACTGTTCTTTACATGGTGATCTATCGGCTGTGGGATCAGGAAGGCATAATATTGGGTTGATTAAAAAACAAAGCAAAATAATGGCAACACAGTGATGTATAATGTCTGATGTCTAGTGATACCAAATTCAACATTTAATATAGACAATTTCTTGAGGAACAGATGATTAAGAATAACAATGTAAATCTGTTAAATCAGGAAACAATAATTTATCGCGATATTTTAGTGATATTTTCCTAGCTTAAATCAATTCAAGCCAGATAATTATAACAAATAAATCAATTTCGACAAGATAATTTGAAAATATACATACATTTCAAGCAGATTTTCCGTGAATACAAATACATTTTGGTTAGAAATGCTTGCTTTAATATTTACCACAGAAATAAGGAAAAGTTCAACTTTTGAAGAAAGATATATGGTTATGGTGAGCAGTGTTGGGTGTAACGCGTTACAAAGCATTACACATTCATCTGGAGTCTAAGGCAGGGTTTCCGCTAGGATTTTTTCTCGCCGGTCAAATGTCCGGACAGAATTTATTTTACCGGACAAATTTGAAACTTACCGGTCATGTTTCAATAATGATAATAATAATTGTGTAGCAGAGTTTCCGTTAGCAGGTAATTACCGGACTATGACCGGATATGCTGATGTTTAAAACTCAGTTAATGGGAGTAATTTTTATATCGCTTCAGTTTATAATCGTAACAGATGGAAGAATTCAGATTCAGTTTTCAATAAATGATTCCACAAACAACAAACAACATCATTATTACATTCAAACAAACTTGTAGTAGATGAAGTACATTATTCAAAAGTTTACATTAACTTTGAATAATAACACGGGAGAAACGGATCCTCTCTTTTCCCCTCTCCCTCTCTCCTGACAGCCCGTCAGTTTCTCATGCAGCTCGCTAAACAGTGGGCGGGGCTTCAGGTGATTATGCAGCAGCTGATCTGATCTCTCTCTCCGGTTATACTTCACTCGCGTTTATGTCCATATCGATCAGATCCAGCTCTCCTGATCGGCCTTTATAGAGCACAGATCAAACTATTAAGAGTGAATATCGGCCGATAATGACTGGCGGCCGATCGATCGGAGCATCCCTAATTATTAGCGGACATTTTGACCGGCAGGTTTTGAATTTACCGGTTTTTATTACATTTTACCAGCTAAAAACCGGTAATTACCGGCTAACGGAAACCCTGGTCTAAGGGTATTTTCTCGATTTTTAGATGTTTTCTTAAATCACCTTTTAAATGTATTTCTTTTAACATGGAACCCCATGTGTTACATATCAAAATGTTCAGGACAATCTCTGGTATTGCTATACAGATGAAGCACTCCAGATCAGACTCAGATGGGTGTGTCCCAGTCAAAAACCCAGCGGATGCCAGTGGCTGGGGGTGTTGCCAAATTGCTAGAGGGCGTTGCCCAATTTCCCCATTTGTTCAATTACAGGATTTAACCATGAGATGGCGCTTCATTCACAAAATACACAAAGACAACTTGTTACGGTTATCTGAGAGAACCCAAACGCAGGACACGGCAGTGTGTTACAAAGGTTTTATTTGGAGGAGATAATCCGGCTGGAGAGTATCCACTGGAGCGTAATCCACTGAAGAGTATCCTCCGGAGTTTTAATCCACTGGAACGTAATCCACTGAAGCGTAATCCTGGAGCACAAGAAGAACAGGTAAGAATATATTCAGGTGTAGCGAAAATAGTCACTATACTTTAAGAAGGCTGAGAAGGCAAAGAGTTTTACCACTGGGGTCTAACAACGATCTGGCGCTGACAGGTTGTGGAGCCTCCGCTGATATACCATCCGTAATGGCTGATGGGAATGAGGTGTGTCGCAGAGGAGAGTGCTCAACTGTTTGCAGCTGGTGGAGATTTGAGCCGGGAGCCAGGAATGACAGGCACCACGCCCACACAGACAGGGAAAGGGAAAACACACACACAAGGAAGGTGGCTGGAGAATGCAACCACCACACAACTGGGTGTTGTTGAACTTAGTCTGTTTGCAATGTTTGCAGCTCTGCAGTTGTGTTTGCTGAATACTGTAGCATTTAATCACGTATTTGTTACTGTATGGTTTTCACAAGCTACTATAATGAAAAAACATCAATATTTTAGATCAAATAAAGTATATAGTTTGCTTTATGCAGTATATTTCTTGTAATATTGTTGGGGTGTTTTTACACAGTACAGTAGATTGAAGTAAATCAACTTATACATTAAGATAAGATGGACCTTTATTAATCCCGTGGGGAAATTCAGTAGTTCAATCAGCAACAGGGTGAGAGTGAAAAACAGGACAGCACAGATTCACACAGATTAATAAAATCAAAAATAAGATGAGTGATAAAAATAATAATAATGAGAAACTATAAATAAGAAATGAATAAAACTAAAATGTAATTATATCATATATTATAATGTATTGTATTATTAAGTAATATCATACATTAACCCCATTATAGCAGATGCCACATTGAATGGATGAACACATTTATAACAGAGTATTTCTAAATACAAGTTGTAAAAATACTTATATGTATTTAATATTAACCCTTTGGAGTCGACCGTCACGCCGGCGTGATCAGATCACATGACCTGTTCAAGCCGGTGCCGCATAAAAACAACAGTCCGGACAACATTGCTGTGTGTTTCTGTCGAAAGTACTGGCTTGAAACTATATCCCAGTCTTTGTTTCATGCAAAAAGACCCAGTAAACACGGAGAGACGATGATATAAAGTTAATACAGATATATTTCAGCAGTATGAATAATGGAAGCACATATTTTAATTAGGGCTGTCAAACGATTAACATTTTTAATCAGATTAATCACAGTTTAAAAATTAATTAATCATGATTAATCACCATTCGAACTATGTCCAAAATATGCCATTTATTTATGCATATTGTTGTGGGAATGGAAAGATAAATGAAAGAAGGCGGATATATCCATTTAACATACAGTATCTATGTTTATTATAACATTTTACTGCGTGTCAAAATGAAAGACAGCCCACACACCTATCAATCATCAAACCGTGGGGTCTTCATTCATTACGTGTTGATTTCTATCAACGGGGAAGTACTTCAGGAAAGTCGACGGGGGGGGCGGCTAGTGGAGTACTTCCTGACCACAGAGTGTGAACGTTGTGATCAGCTGTTTTAGCGCAGTTCTCCAGTGAAGGGGGGAAGTCTCCCTCTGCAGCCGGTTGGCGTAGTTTTGGCACAGTTCCGTTGTACAGACCGACGTTAACAGCAGCCCTGTCTGTGCACACGGAGACCGACTCTGTCGCCTTCTGGAAAAGCTTCACAAGTATACGTCGGTACGCAAATGCGCTTTGTGACACAAGTGCTGGTACGCATTTCACATTACGCACATAACCTGCGTACCAGTTATGTGCACCCCTGTACTACAGCAAAAGTATTCTCCGTCGGGACTTCCTGCAACAACACCACGCCGTTATCAAAGATGTTCTATTGAGAAGACGATCACTACGTGACAAAAGTTTTCAAAACCGTGGCTACTGAAATCAATCTTACTAACTGCCGTCTGTGCAATTCTCGGCGCGAGTTGGCAGACTTTATTTTGCTTACTTTAACATCATTTTTCATGGTGGGCTAAGCCATTTCTTGGTATGGGTGTAGCCTACCCCAGCCATACCCTGGCGCTGCCACTGGTGGCACGTATGGGGCGGGCCATTCTGCACATGCGTTAAATGCGTTAAATATTTTAACGCAATTAATTCAAAAAATTAATTACTGCCGTTAACGCGATAATTTTGACAGCATTAATTTTAATATCTTCGCCGTATTTGATCATTTTACGAAACGGAAAATACTGGAAACTGTAGATTCTGCTCAACAGGATGTATATGTGTATTTCTGTCGAAAGTACTGGCTTGAAACTATATGCCAGTCTTTGTTTCATGCAAAAATACCCAATAAACACGGACATACGATGATATAAAGTTAATACAGATATATTTCAGAAGTATGAATAATGGAAGCACATATTTTAATATCTTCGCCGTATTTGATCATTTTACGAAACGGAAAATACTGGAAACTGTAGATTCTGCTCAACAGGATGTATTTACCAGGGAGGGGGTGAGGTAATCAGGTAAACGGAGTGATACGAAACGAGACGAAAAGAGAGGAAGAGGGACGGCGGGAGACTGTGATTGAAGTAAAGTGACAGACAAACATTGAGAATTTAGATATAGTTAGATAGATTTAGAGTTTTGAAGATTCAACTATGATGAAGAGAACTCTGAACGTGAGTCAAGCTTTAAGCTTGTTTTTTGACATGGAGGAGAAGGAATCTGTGATGTTGCCCTCTGTGTCGTATTGACAGAAACCACTTTGAAGCGTGGCACAGATAAAGACAGAAAAAACTGATTTTTGTACATAATATGTATATATATATATATTTGTATTATATTTATAATAACACTTTTGCCTTATCAGAATGAAATCCCATGCTACCTCAATCAAACTTTCACATTATCATAGTGACATCCCATGTATATATTTCCACATTTATATTTTAAAATACAACACACACACAAATTAATAGCATGCAGGGTTAAATGTAAGAAAAAGAATACATTTGAACTCACCCTGCTTGTGACAAAGCAACACCCCAAGGTATATCATTCTTATTGTTATACATTTGGTTGTTTTAACATTAAATGCACAGCTATTTTCAGGATCCGCTGGCCTCCGTCAGACACACACATTTAACATTGTCCTGCATAAACTATGAGGAATTCGACATAACAGGTTTCCTCTTACCAAGTCTTTCGAGCTCGTTGTGTGTCTGAACGGACGCTGCGTCCCTGGAAAACAGCTGGTTCTTAATCTCTCCCGGGTCACCAGATTGTAAACCGTGATCGGTTTTCTCACGTCCAGGTGAGAAGCTTAAAAAGGAGACTAAATGGAGTCTCTGAGAAGGTTCAAAATTGGTACTTTAATTAATAAAAAGCGCGGTAATGTTACAAACAGGATATTGTTCAGTCAGGAGAGAAAGACTGCAGCTTCCTCTCCCAGGTGCCGGCCGTGCAGAAGAGAGTTTACAAGCATTCGTCCTTCCCGCTTGCTGGCTGTTCGCTCCTCCTCTCTGTGAGCTGTAGTGACGTAGGAGACTTCCCCCCTCGTTCGTCTGTGTCCGATATCGCGTTAAACAGATGATTTCGACATTTTACATTCATTGCTTACTTCCACATGCCTTTTCTCCTCCTTATCTCTTTCATAACTTTGTATGTAATACATGTTAACGGCGTCAATAGCCACTTTAATGATACTAATGGGCGGTAGTCCCGGATGTCGTCATGAAGGATTTTCAGAATAAAAGCTTGGTAAAGAGAACCTTTGTTTTTTTCCAAAATAACATAGTATTTAAACTGACGGTATGTTTAAGGTACATTATGCCATAAAACATTGATTTTAATTTCTAACAGTACATCCTATACTCCGAAAACGTTTGCAACGGGGGGAATACCACGTTCTGGTCCAAGAGCTCCGTCTGGATGACAACCTCTTTCAGAAGTACTTCAGGATGAGCAAAGACGTGTTCGACGAGTTGCTCGGAAAAGTGGGTCCACTGATTACAAAGGCTGACACCCATCTGCGTTTGTCAATCGGACCCGCCGAGCAACTCGCCATATGCCTACGGTACGTTTTGTGTATTTCTACTTCTTTCATCTGACTCTGTATAGAAGGAGAGAGAATGCATGAATGAAGTCTGTGATTTAGTTCAGATGGATAATATTAATTAAGATAGCTAGGTAAACACAGTATGTGGGGGGGGAGTGGTCTGTGTGTGTGTGTGGGGGGATCTGTGTGTGTGTGTGTGTGTGTGTCTGTGGTATGTGTGTGTGTCTGTGGTCTGTGTGTGTGTGTGTGTGTGATCAATGTGTGTGTGTGTGTGTGGCTGTGATCAATGTGTGATCTGTGTGTGGGGGGGATCTGTGTGTGTGTGTGTGTGTGTGTGTGATCAATGTGTGTCTGTGATCTGTGTGTCTGTGGTATGTATGTGTGTGTGTGGGGTCTGAATAAATATATTTTGTAATCATGTCAGAGGTCGCGTTAACCGAATATTTTCCATCTATGACGGATTTTTTTTAACAATGACGGACAAATCTGAAAGCAGTCCGTCATTTTGACAGATTAGAACAAACTCAGAACAGCACCAAAGTTTCCCCTCAGCGAGGCTCCGGTGTTATTCCGTGTTATGCATGCCCTCCAAAAAGGAAATTATACCGTCTCCAAACCTAACTGTGCCGTACAAATCATTGACATGTCTGAGTTTTGGCTTTACGCTGTGCACGCTCCCGCGAGGTGCAGCAGCCATGCATAACACGGCGCATGTAAACTGTCCCCCCCCCCCCCCCGTTGACAGTTCACGAGCATGCTCCCCCCCCCCCACCCACAGTTGTGTAAAGGCCGACGGGTAATTCTGGATTTTGACGGAAGTTTTACGATCCTGTCCGTCAAAATGACGGGCAGCGAAAAAGTCTAGCGCAACCTCTAAATAATGTATATATTTTGTTCTCAGGTACCTGGCAACCGGTGACTCGTACAGGACCATAGCATTCAGCTATCGGGTCGGGCATGCAACAGTGGCTGTCATCGTGAAGGAGGTTGCGGGTGCCATCTGGACCGCCCTGGTTGAGGAGTACATGCCGGTACCACAGATGGAGGACTGGAGAGCCATCGCTGCTGGGTTCCGGGAGCGTTGGGACTTTCCCAATTGTGTTGGTGCCATTGATGGGAAGCACGTGGTGATCCAGGCTCCGGCAAATTCTGGGTCCCTCTACTTCAACTACAAGTGCACCTACTCCTTGGTACTGCTGGCTGTCGTGGATGCTGAGTACCAATTCAGGGTAGTGGATGTCGGAGGCTTTGGAAGGAGCAGCGACAGTGGGAGCCTGAGGAATTCCGCTTTTGGAGAGAGCCTCACGTCCCGTCCACACAGCAGCTTTTGGCGATTTGTCCACCGCTTCCAGCGCGTCTCCGCCCATTGACTTTGAATGGGGATTACGTCACTTTCCCTCGCTTGTCGCCGAACTGCATTGTGGGGGGGTGAGGCGAAGATTTCCAGGATGTTCAGGATTCCAAAGTTGAACAATGTTCAACTTTTGAGGCTGAGCTGGAAGCGACAGCCAATCAGATCCGTTTATGCACATCTGACAGTTCAAGCGCTAGCCAATCAAACCGCGTGCAAGCTGGGAGAGCCAGACCCGCAGTTCATTCTATATTCCACAAAAATGGAGGAGAACTTAGTTATTGCGGTAGCAAATCATCCGGTTCTTTATGACCAGTCCCTATTTACTTACCGGGATACAAACCGGAGGAACCAGGCATGGAGGGAGGTGGCAGAGACAGTGGGTGAAACTGGTAGGTTTTCGCTTGTTTGGGGATTTTATATCCAGTTTTCCAGCTAGTTTACTTCGTTGCTAGCAAGCATAGACAGTATCATTAGCCAGCATGGAATGTAGCATAAAATAGCACCATAGACATTAATCTCATAAATGTTCAAAATGTTAAAAAAATAAATGTTCATCATAGCCCTTCCTATTTGACAATAGTGTAGAAGAACCGGGTATTTTTGCTTTGTATGTCGGGGGCGGGATATTCATGTGATATTCATGTGATTGGTTATTGGTCGCGAAATCCCCAAGCTGTCAGACACGCCCAGCTCCAGGATTTTCAAGATTTGGTCAAAGCTGCTGTGTGGACACACCGTCAGAGATGGCAGTCTGCAGCTACCACCTGACACCGTCATCCCAGGAGCAGAGCGGCGGGGCCTTCTCCCCCATGTCTTCGTTGGAGATGAGGCTTTTCCGCTGCTGGACAACCTGCTGCGTCCATTCCCTGGACGTCACCTCACCCGTGAAAGGAGGTTGTTCAACTACCGCCTCAGCCGTGCCAGGTTGGTGGTTGAATGTGCGTTTGGCATCCTCTCATCCCAGTGGAGAATGCTCAGGCGTGTCATCACCACCAGCCCCGAGGTAACAGAGTTGTGTGTGAAGGCCGCCTGTGTGGTGCACAACTTCCTCCGCAGGAGGACGATAGGAAGACCATCACGCACACCTATCGCAAAGTCCACAGGTGAAGCTACTCCAACCCTGTGTGATGCACCGAGGATGGGCTTCAGCTCCTATTTGAATGAGGAGGAGGAGGGTGCGATGGCAGCATAGAGTGGTGTAGGGTCACCATTGTCTCCAAACCAAAATATATTTTAAGAGCTACCCATATTTTCTTTAAGAAGCAAATATTCCAAATGAGCCATTTTAAAATCAACCATTCCTAATAAACATGTTTCCTGAATTGATATTATGATATGACTAACAACCTTTTTCCTTCAGTCCTGTTTTTAGTGATAACAATTACAACAGGTTTTCACCTGAACAATTACAGAAGACAGCACATTATATATCGACATACACGAAGCTTCTGGTATGTTGCAACTGACAAACCACATCAACAAGTCAAGACACATTATAGCCATAACATACTTTAAATAACTTTTATTTATGTAATGTTGTGAGTGAAGTGTGATGAGTGTAAAAACATGTCATGTGGATCAGTATCAGTATCAGTATGTCATTAATTAATTCTCCAGCTCTGCTACCTCCAGGACCGCCTCGTGTATGGTCAATCTGAGCCTCAGCCTATTTCTCCTGCTGATCAGCCTCATGGTGGGCAAGAGACTCCGGAAAAAGAGCAGGTCATCGTCCTCCTCCACCACTGGTGGTGGTGGTGGTGGCATATCCAGCATTGGACCTACGGTCAAAAGCAGATTCTCCTCAAAGGGGGACATCTCCGGCTGACTGGCTGGCTGACTGCCCGGCTGACTGGCACCTGGCTGGCTTTCCATGCTGTCATCCAGGCTCTCTTCCAGGCTGTCTTCCTCTTCCTCTTCTATGGATGTGGATGGAGGCAGGGCTTGCCGGGGGAAATTGCTGAACGTCTCGCGGTCAAGCATGAAGGGCTTTAAAAAGCTCATGATTGCCGCGAGACGCCAGGGCTGAGATCCCCCGGAAGACCCTGCCCCGCTCCTTTTCCCTTCCTTCTCTAATATCCTCTCCTTCCTGTATTTGTCCCTGAGGGACTTCCACCGCTTTTTGCACACTTCCTCTAATAAAATGAAATGAAAGAATACAGTTAATTTCTTGAATTTAAGAAAATGATTCCTCCATTAATGAAAACCAAATCCCTTTATCACTGTCAATTGCATAAAATGTTTTACATGTCACACTTTATCAGAATCAAAATCAGAAACAGGTTTATTGCCAGGTAGCTTTGCACATACTAGGAATTTGACTTGATGTCATGGTGCATATATAAAAAACAAGAAATCTAATATAAAACACAAAATGTTTTACACCGTAATAAAATACAGTTAAATTGCAAAAAGATAACAATTAAATAAAGCAGTAATTTACATGGAAATAGAATGCATTTTTGCATATATATATATATAACTAAGAAATGTGAAAGCAGAATATGAGCAGAAAGGAGTATGACATTGTGTGCATAAATGTAATGCAATATAGTCTATGATGTGGCAGAGGTAAAGTGTCAGCGGATGATGAACATTTATGTGATTAATGTCTATGGTGCTATTTTATGCTAAATATAGTGGCTAATGGCTATGCTTGCTAGCTATGTTAACACTACGTAAACTGGATATAAAATCCCCAAACAGGCGAAAACCTACCAGTTTCACCCACTGTCTCTGCCACCTCCCTCCATGACTGGTTCTTCCGGTTTGTATCCCGGTAGGTGAAGAGGGTCTGGTCATACACAACCGGGTGATTTGCTACGGCGATAATTAGTTTCTCCTCCATCTTTTTTTGAAATATAGAAATGAACGGCGGGATATCTCTCCCAGTTTAGACGCGGTTTGATTGGCTAGTAGCAGCAAGTCCTCAAAAAAGGCTTTAGTTTTCGAGATACCCCTACCCGAGGTAGAACAATTTACAACAATGTTTTTTCTTATCTTTAGGGTCTCCCATTAATGAAACTGATTGTTGTCAAATTTTATTTTGGGGGAAAAAATGTTTTTTGGGTTGTTCTTTCCCCAATCCCTGAAAAAGAGCCAAATTAGACCAGGCCGAATGTGGGAAAGGTGACCAAAAAGCCCATAACTTGAGAATGATCACTCTTTTCCTCTTCAGATTTGCTGAGGTATGAACCAGGTAGATGTCCTACATCACCAAATAGTTAGACAATTATTTAACTAAAAAAATACTGAATTCTAGTCCTGTAAACTTAGCTTTAGTTTAGACGGAAATTGTACTTTTTGGTGAAAGGAACATAGGACTCCATCACTTTTCTCTCATTTATCAGAAAAACAGAAATCCCTAAAAAATATACCATTACTGAATTGTCTAGGGTGCTATTGAACACTAACCAGTAGTTGTATGGAAATATCTGGTACGGTTCTATTGCAAAGGAGATTTCTTTAGACATAGGCCTACCTCTTTTCTGATACAGTCAAACTCCGAATGGGGGAGAAGTGGCACAATAGCCTATAAGTAAAGAATGCTCCCTCTGATGGTCATCATATTTGGAGAGGGAAATACCAGGTGGCTGAACTACATCACCAAATAGTCAGAATAAGAATAACCCAATGAAATAAAGTGTATTAGTTCTAAATGGCAAGCCTCTAAATCATAGGTGTAAATAGTACAGGTTTGATTGAAACTGGAACCTTAATTCAAAGTGCAGCATACAAATCATTAAGACTGACAAGCCTCTAAATGCAGAGAAGCTTGACAGTGGAACTCTCTCTCCTACTCTGGTTTGAGTGACAGCCGCATGTCTCAAAACATTGTATTCAACTGGGTAGCAGCAGCCATATGGAATGTCCCAAGATTGAAAGAAGACAACAATCTAATGAAAGGTTACAGGTAACATAAATGTCCAACTATGATATTCATATTGTTGAATATGTTGTTTTATTTGTGAGATATATTTTAAACCACAGTGCAGGCATTCTGATTCTGATTAAATGTGTGTGTGTGTGTGTGTTTTTTTTTTTCTTCATATTTACTAGAGTTCACTGTAACAATGGAGCCAGCAGATCCAACGCAGACAGCTAGCCAGCCATATTTACAGACACTGGATGAAAAGGTCTGCTTATTATGTGAAAATGCTCTCCAAGGACATCAAAATAATCCATATGTCAAGAACCCCACCTTACAAGGACTCAGAACCATACTGAACATTGCTCAAGAACGAGATGATGAAGTTCATAAGAGATTATCCCCCCACTCAGAGGACATACTGTCCTTCAAGGTCAAGGTTTCATATCACAGGTCATGTAGGGCCAGTTATTCAAGCACACATAACTATACACCTACAACCAGTGATCAAGAACCACCCCAGGATCAGTGTCAAAGTAAAAGAGTTAGACTGACCAGAGACACTGGATTTGACATCCGCAGCCAGTGTTTCATTTGCAGTCAATGTTTCAATTGCAGCCGGAAAGTCACAAAGAGAGAAGTCCTGACCCCTATCTGTACCGGTACAGGTGAACATACAAGGTCAAAGGTCCTCAATGCAGCCTCAGAGAGGTTTGATGAAATAATACATCACCGTATGCTGACCTATCAAGATCTTTTTGCCTATGATGCAAAGTATCACAGAAGCTGCCTAGCACACTATATTTCAGAAAGGAACATTCTAGCAGCCAGAAACAAACATTTGACAGAAAATAAGTTAAATGAACATGAAAGAGCTTTCATTGAGTTAACTGAAGAATTAACTAAGAACGTTTTTTCAAAGGATACGACTGTCACAACACTGAGTGCTGTAACTGAGAGCTATATAGGAAAACTCAGTACAGCTAGAGAACCAACAATGTACAAATCATGGAAACTCAAAGAAAAGTTGATCCAGCATTATGGGGAGAAACTCATCTCCTCAGAGAAAACATAACAGAAGAAAGGGAGAGAATGCCTCCACAGAGAACAGAGATCCTCACTGACACTCAAATCCTCCACCGGGCTGCAGGTATATTGAGGAAAACTATGGAAAAGGTTGAGCATGAGCCTCAATTCTACATATGCAGTGACAAGCTTTCCCCTCTCCAGTGCAGTGAATATGTGCCAAATACTCTGTATGATTTTGTGAACTGGTGTGTCAATGCAGGTGCATTTAAAAAAGTGCAGACCTGTGATGAGAACCCAGCTCTGAAGAATAACACATGTGTTATAACCTTTTGCCATGATCTAATTGCACAGTGCTGCAGCAGACGTACACCTATCACACTAGGACTTGGGATTATGATCCATCATGAGTTTGGCAGCAAGGCCCTTATCAACAAGCTACACATGATGGGTCATTGTGTGTCTTATGATGAAGTGCGTCAATTTCTCACATCAGTAGCAGCAGATCAATTACAGAGAAGCAAAGGTGTTTACATCCCAAATGGACTGACAAGAACCACAGAACATGGGATAATTGATGCAGCCATTGACAACTTTGACCAGAATGAAGAGACGCTGGATGGCAAAAATACAACACATTCCATGGCAATTGTTGTATACAGAAGAGGTGATGTTGCCACAGCACACAACCCCATCCCGAGAATTCCAGAGAGATCTCTCCATGCTCTGGACAGCTGTGATTTGGATAATGAAGAGGTTCAGAGGTAAATATTATAGACAAATCATAATCTAAGGAATCTGGATTTGTGTTGTTTGTAAGGGAATGCATTTTGTTAAAGATTTAATTATATGACAAAATATATAATGACTTGCTCTAATTTCAGATACATCAAGCCAGGTAGGCGATCTGAACCACCAGCAGTTCTACCACAGATCCTCAAATCAGACGGCACAAAAGCTCAGGCAGCAGAAGGCCAAGACTTACTTTGGAAGGTGAGCCGTATCATGAAAGAAGAAGAACAGAGAATCCCAGGATGGTCTGCATTCAATGCCTATGTATCCACGTCAGACATCCCATTAACAACAGTACAATATATGCCCTTCATAAGAGCTTCACCATCAGACCTATCTACCATCTATACAGCTCTTTTGCAGCTCACACAGCTTGCTCAAGAACTGGGACAGAGGCATATACTTGTAACTGCTGACCTGGCCATCTACAGCAAAGCACAGCAAATTCTGTGGAGCAAACCTGAGGCTTTGGATGGCAAGATCACGATGAGAATTGGAGGAATGCATGT